ATGGTTTTATACCTCAAGAAATTCTGCTCCAGCTTGAAGTTCAGATTCTTTAGAAGGATGCATCTCAGAACCTGTGGAGTATAAGTTTTTAGCAAAGGAGAAGCTTCTGATTATCAATTTTCTTTTCTTCTCCATTTCTTGATTGAGTTTGAGAGGCTTTGGCACAGACGTTGTGCTATTAAGCTTCTTCCGATAGGCAATTACTGCTTTAACAAATTCCTGCAACAATTTTTCATCAAAATCAATCAGCAACATACTCCATAATCCTTCACATCAAAACAGTGTCTTTGTAAGCCATCCAAAGAATCATTATGATACCTGATAAGCAGATGGGCATCCTGGATAATCAAATTCATCAGAATCCGGCCGCCTCATTCTCTTAGGATGGAATTAGAGATCCATGATAAACTTATCCTGTTCTGGATTATAAGCGTCTGGGTCATAGAACCCTTCAATAAGACCATCTGATGCAAAAGCCATTGGAAAGAAACATTGAGCTAATCTCTTAACACCTTGATGGTGATAACTATTAACCCAAATCTCCATTTTCTCTTCCTCCAGAGAATCATTAAACCATTTTTGCAAAGGGGTATTCTCTACCACCTTCACCGCATGCCTATGCCCATCATAATTATCATAATCAATGTGCATTCCCCTTTGATTTTCCGGCTACTTTTTGGACAGTTCTTTACCGATGTCTTAATAAAGGGTCCCTCCACATGCAACATTTAAAACTTGGGAACCCCTGCAAATTCCCAAATAGGGGATGTTCCTCTCGAGGCAAAACTTCGCCAGGCTCAACTCGATTGAATCATTTTCCCTATCAAAGGCATATAGGGCGGTGATTATGGATGGTATAAGGCGGTGATTATGGATGGAATGGTCGAATATTTTGTATTGATTAGCATTGATTGGCATTGTACAGTTTCCTGTATTTCCTTTTATTTCCTTTCTGGTAGCAGAACCCAGTTGTATATAGGTGTAATGCTGCTTATAATGAAATATAGCATTCCAGATTCATATACGGCTGTTACTGCCCTAAGTTTATTAAGGCAGTATCGCTGGCAGCAATCTCCTGATTTCTTTGGATTTCTTTGGATTTCTTCGAATCCGGATATTTCCACCTCATACAGAGATGGGTCAATGTCTTCCCTTGACAGAGGAGAACCCCATGAATCGGCTCGAAACTGTTCAACAACATATGTTGGAATTATTGTTAGAAATGTGGCATTCAAATCTGCAAAAATGATGAAATGAAACTGCCATGAAATGGCAGCAATGAGGCTGAAAATTGATAGCAAATGAAGCTGCAATTTGACAGCAAACATGGCAGCAATTTAGCTGCAAATATGATGGAAATGAAGCTTTCTAATGACAGCAAAAATGTGCAGCAAGCTAAACTGCAAAGGTTGATAAAATAAGGATGCAATGAGCAACAAATGAAAGGTTGCAAAGTGGCTGCAGAGTCACTGCAACATGTAGCCGCGCAAAATGGCAGCAAATCTTTTGAAAGGAATCTTGCTTTAAATGTTTGATAGATTTTCTTGTATTAAGTAAAATATTAAGTAAAAAAATTATTTTATATTGTATTATTTCTGCTATAAATGCAACAAAATATCAATGAAATTTCTAGTTGGGTGTTATACTCTTCTCCACTTTCGTTTGTGTTTTTCCTGATTTTCTCTCCATTTCTTTGTTTGAAAAAAATCAACAACATATGCACCCCACTGACTCGGGGAACAATAACGGGTACAGCTCCATACCCAACTATAAGATCAAGATGATATTTCACGTGAAAACATCAAAAATAAAACTTTGGGCCCAAAAAATCCAAACTTTCTGAAAACAAGAATCTACAGAGAAAATTGTGAACGTACCAACAAAATCTACGAACTTATTCTTGCGAACGCTACCCCTGGAGACGATGAGGACGCGAGGGAGAATCTCGGAAAAGTCATTGGACGCCATGGAAATGAGAAAGAGAGCTTGATTTGGCAGATTTGGACAATGTAGTCCGGAGCGGCGTTACAACACATTTATGGTCATAGAAGAGAAGGGAAGAGACATTTGCTTTTATATAATCAATTTTAATTTTAATTTAATGAATGTACAGTAATAGTAGTAATTCATAATTTATTAATTTCTCGTAAAATAATAATAATTTTTTAATTTTTTAAATTAAAAATTTAGAAATAATTTATATATTTATTAATTTTAATTTTAATTTAATGAATGTACAATAATAGTAGTAATTCATAGTTCATTAATTTCTCTTAAAATAATTATTATTTTTTAATTTTTTAAA